CAGGAACAAATTTGTGGCCCTCATTAGGAAATTCTTTCAGAAGGAAGCTCATGGTTTTGCCTTTCTAACAGTTCCCAGGTTAATGTTGCGCTGTCTATCTGGGAAGTACTGTAAGTAGCGGTAGTCTAGAACAGCGCTCCCCAAAGCTGCCTAAATATAAGCAGAAGAGCAGGTTACCTGGAGATTAATGTTTAAAAGATGGTGGGTAGACAAGCAGCGTTAGCACCTCCCAAGATCCTGCCAGAGATTTAGTGAATTGGGAACTCTACGCTAACATGATCTCCAGGGGATAAATAAACATGTGCACTAAAGCTTGAGATGCACTGCTCTAACTCTTAAGTTTGGCCATATATCACAATGCCCTGTAAGATTTCCCCAAATCACTGATGCTTTTTCACTTCCTTGGGGTGCATTCTGGATATTGGGTCCTTTTAATCATTACCCACAGGATCTTTCTTACTCTAGAGGATATAATGTGAAGGGATGCTATGCATAGTTTTCTCTAAATTCTGCTTTAGTCACCTGGACTGTCATAACTCCGTGCATTCACTCATGTATATTGGTCAAGATTCTTTGCGATACAAATCACCACAGGAAGATGGACATTATTCTACCAGTCACATCTTAGTATTAATATAATTTAATTAGAATCTGATTAGGAGAAACATTATAGGAAAAATGTTTAATGGGGATTAGAAAAATGAGAGAAAGTAATAATTTAAAACACAGCAGCACTGCTTGTCCTGGGAAGAGATAGAAGTAAGTTTAGAGTGTTGACTATGTGGGCAGGGGGCAACTGGCTATATCTTGTTCTTGCAGAGGTAGAGTGGTGTACCAGGCATTGGAAAAGCTGCAGGAGTGGCACTAAACAGTGGTAATAAGTTGAGTTTCATGTAAGAAATAAACAAGAAAAGAATAAAGAAATATGAAGTTGTAATTAATCACACTAAGACTGGATACAGGGGTAAACATGAGCAGTTGAAGAAGACATCCAAGATCACTAAGGAGTCTTGCACTCTTACAGATGTACATTTTTGTAAGTTCACTGAGCCCAGAATTTACCTATACATTTTGAGTGCTCAATAACATTTTATTTAATGGTATCCTAACACCATTAAACTCACTGATCCCTTTATTACATAAGCCGGGCTTACTGTAGAAGTATGAATAAATAAATGCACTTGCTAAATACCCTTCTCATCAATAAATATCTGTCTGAAAACACAGGTCTAAGATGGCTGTGTCTTATTCAGTAGTATTCCCAACACATCTGAGATACACTCTGGAACATTTATCAGGAATTCTGTGAATGTAGAAGTGGGATAAATGTCAAGGTTTCTTTTCTTAGGTGGATCTTCTTGAAGCAGCAGGCAAGTAATGACTAAGGACAATCAGAAGCCACATAATTCAAGGTCCAGACCCTCAATACTCAGAGCTCTCGCATTTACATTGTAGTGATCTCACAGACAAACTTAGAAATTGAAAAAAAAAAGTGTGTACCTTTCTTTGAAAGAGTTCTTATTAATCTTGCTTATTGGTGAATAAATAAAAAGAACAGCAGTCACCTAATTTAAACTATTGCATTTATTATAATTACACGGGAGCACAAATAAATAAGCACGAAAGTATTGTAAAATATTGTCAATACACTAAAGAAATCAATTTGCTTTCAAACAACATCTCGTTACTTCAGTAGTATCAAAGTACATTTATAATTACATATTACCTAAAAAATCAAGTACAAAAATTAATAGACATTGAAACATCAGTGTGTATATCATTATGTGTATAGAAATGGCTACTAACACAAGAGTAGAGAAATCTGCTATCTAATGCTTGTTTACACAATTTTTCAGGCACATACCTGACATTTCTAATGAGTAGTGAAAATGTAATATGACATTCAGATTTTCAGGTATGGTAAACATGTTATATTGGAATGGATGTTAAATGGTTTTCTTTAAAAACCCTGTCTTTTAAAAATGTAGTGCCATTAGCCACTAAAAAACGTATTACTTTGTATCATTTTCATAGCTATTTGCTTCAACTGTTTGAAAAGAGCAAGAAAGTAAACATACAATTGCTAAGTACGTAAACACTTTTTTTAGTGCAAGATAACAAGACCTGTGACTTTACTGTGCTTTGTTTCTTTATAATCACAGTGCACTTTACACAAATTGCTACACTATAAATGTTAAGTTAAGGAGTTCCAAACAAAAGAAGTGCATACTAAACATTTTCATATATATTATATACAGTGTGTAATTTGCATGTGGGTGTATACATGTGGAAATGTAGATGCTTTTAGGGTGGGCAAACCCAGTTATATTTGAGAACAACAAAACGTTTCAAAGGTTTTCACATACCCTTGGTTGAGATGAGCCCATCAATTTCTTTAAAAATGTTTCTCTTTTGGCTTTAAACTTCATAATATTTAATAGAAATACAATTAAACATTTTTCCAAATTATACACACTTTGTCACAATGGAATTGACCCAAATATCAAAGGGTTTTAAATCATCAAATACCCAAATCATGATGAACAAGTCTAAGATGGCACAATGTGTTACTCTTTTACTGATTTACATATACAGCAGTACATATGTGGTGTACATATAGAGGCTTATACATAAACACAGTTCATACTTGAATGCTAAATTCAGTATGGGTTAGTATCTTATTTTGACTGTACACTTGATCAGAAAAAATGAGAATATCATATATAAACATATGAGTTGTCAAACATGAGATTGTATATCTTCTGAAAAACAATTGGCTTTATTTTGAAAATATTAATGATTGCATAAATAAGTTCCTTAAATACAAGGACCACCTATTTTCCAATATTTAATTCTAAGTGCTCCAGAAACTTTACTTTAGGCAACTGATACATAAGTTGCTCAATAACGAACTCCTCATAAAAAAATAGTGGGTTAATAGCAAACTGTCCACATTCTTTAATTGGCCATCTATTCCTCCCTACAGGGAACGGTATAGTAAGATAGTCCTAAATATTATCTGTACCATCTTTCTTTTATTTTCATTCAAGTTTAGGACACAAAGAGTTATGAATTACAGGTTTATTGTACACATATTCCTAGGCAAGTGTGAATTAACTCTCTTCTCAGATTTACTGATTAAATTATGGGAATCTGTTTTGAATTTGACAGATAAGTATAGTTATTTTACAAGCTCTACTTTAGAAAGCTGGCTTGATTAACATGTAGGTAATAGGAAAATTGCAGGGATATGTGTCTTGTCTTCATGTCTTATTTGGTCAGTGAGAACAATAACTATATAAGGCTGTTTAATATTACTAACTTGATCACTAAACTAGCTCAAAGAACCAAACTAAATTCTGTACATAGACAAGACATATACTGATGCCAAGCCATGGTAAGAGTGAAGTTTCTTTGTTTTCTAGAAGCAAAGAAAGTTGGTCACCATTTTGAAGAAATGTCACTAGTCTTGGAAATAAAGTTGTACCCATTTGTATCCAGAGAATTGCTGTGTAGTTGGCAGTGTCTACTCCTTAAAACTAATGTATACGTTTTAAATTCCCAATATTTTGTTGTACTTTCCCAATTAGTTTATATGAGTGGAAATTAACCTTCATTTCACTCCAGATTTGTTTCAGGGAAATAAACACCAGGAAAGGTTGGCAGGATTTGTATAAAGTACTACCGCCATAGCTCAGATAATCCTGGCTTCCGTGATTGGAAGTATTTCATTTTTTCTTTCCATCATTTCTAAAGAAATTTGTTTCTTGTCTTCGAAGAAATATCTCACATATAAAAGCCTCTTGCTGACAGCCAATAAAATTTTCTTTCTATAAAATCTGCTGTGAAAAGACCATTTTTCTTAAGTATGAGCTCTTTCACTCTGGTAATCATGCCATGTTATGATTTGTTCTTTGGCACTGCTAGAAATACGAGCTTTATCATGGTATAGTAAACTGACGGAGGTTGTCCTCTGACCAAAGTAATATGCAGAAGTGTCCCAATTTATTACTGCCAGAGAGTCAGTTTATTTTTCTCTCTAGAGTAATCATCTCTTTTCCTCTACATAGAAAAACAGTATATAAAGAGGAAATTGATTGTAGAATGACTATTGCCACAGTGGACAATTAAACGTTATGCAGGCACAGAATAAGTGCTTTCGAGTCCAATTTAACTGAACCACTTTTCCAGATATTTCAGCTTCTTCCCACATGTGGGGAGATTTGGAGAAGTGCATAGAAATATTTACCTAAGGTCAACCTGTCAAACACGTTACCTCCTCAGAAAGTAATGTATTTGAACAAGGGGTATATGGATTCTGGGAACATTATGAGTTTGATAGAGCAAATGAGAATGACTGAATCAGTGTTTCCTTCTGGACAAGTGGGTAGCATTAGAAAACATACTCTGCCTAATTCAGAGAGATATGTGCAAGACCAGCATCTAAGAAACATACTCGGGTCTCCCTGCAGAAAGATGTTACCTAAGTATAAATTCAAGGGAGCGAAGATCATTACAACCTTGACCCTAAAGATTTATGTACCAAGATCATAAGGATGCTGAGAATTGATATTCTGCATTTGATTGATTGTCTTCAGTATATACAGTCATAGTAATTTAAATCAAAATAAAATTTGGGTCATAACACATTTTACTTCAATTATGATTTTATCTTACATTTTGCATCATTCTTAGATTTGCTCTGCATTCATTGCTGGGTTTGAAATATAAACTGTAGTTGGTGAAATGTAGTGGCAGGATTCATTTAAATTACTTAAGATCCCTCTGTGATTTCTTATATTTGTGATTCTGCTCCTCTCACCGCCCCAATAATGCAAGCAAACCTAAAACTTCAGTAAGCTTTTTATGTATACAATTCTCCCACTGAGTACACACACACACGCACGCACACACACACAAACACACATACACACACACAACATACACATGCTCCCACTTACCTTTTCCTTATTCTTTCAGAATTCTAGTTGGACATCAAAATATACATTAATTATAAAACATTACAAAATTATGTTTTTAACATTTCAAAGGCTCTTGAAAAGAACTATTACCGATAAAGCATTGCTAGGTTTTTATCAATATAGATTACAAAAATCTCCTACTTCCTGTCATATTTGGTTTTATTGAGCAGCACAGTACTATTGCTGTCAATACCCTCACGAGGAAAACTACTCTAACAATAACTTGAGACACACACGCCTTTTTTCTCTCAGAAATATAATACTAAATTGATTGTTAAAGAAGAATCACATACTGTCAATTTTAGGAAGCATAAATAGGAATTTAAATATATAAAATATATGTGATACTTTCCTTTTTATTTATCTGTGGCAATATTTATATTCAACTAGCAAGTTACTTTTAAAAGATATATAGAATTATTTTAAACTTAAATTTCATCACCACAAAAATCGAATCACCTTATCCTCTACCCCCTGTATTTCCTGTTTCTTCCTTGAAAAAAGTATTTCAAAAAAAGAAGTGATCATAATTCTTTGGTCATGGAGTCATGATCAGTAAGAATTGGTATGAGGGTTATGCATGGATTATGACCCAAAACTGTAGTAACACGTTTGAAAAAAATAACAAGAAATATTTTTTCATTAATGGACTTAAACTGAAAAAGACTGGCATTTAATGTACTGAATTAGGTAAGCTGGTCTAGTTGAATGTTTATTTCTTTTTCTAGGGGAAAAAAATCACGCACATGAAAAGTTACTTGAAAACTGTATTGCAGTGACCACACCTCCTCTAACCTCGGCCTCTCAAGTGTAGTCATGCTCTTAAATTTTTGATTTCTTGTTCTTTCCCTTATCACAGTGAACCCTGGTCTCCTCCCATCAGATCAATGATGCAAGGACACATGTCCCGAAAGTCATTTCTGAAGGAAATGTCCTAACACCTTTCTCTGCAATCTGACTAACCATTGCTTATAATGGGTATAATCAAGAAGATACTGGAAAGGAAATTATATGAAACCAATGTAGCAGAAATGTTGGTGTCAGTATAACCTGGATGTACAAATTAACATCATATTTGCATTTATTTTTGGTCAAAACCTTCAAAATTTAAAAAGCTGTGGATATTCTTAATGAATATGACATTCAACTTCTACATTACTAGCACCAGATCATATATTATGTAGTTGAATATGATTTATAGCTGTGAGCTCTTATACAGAAGCCATTTGTGGGGAGGAGGAAAAAGAAAAGGGTTTTCAATGAAAAAATTAATAATAAAAGGCATCAAGGAATTACATATAAAAGAGATAACAAACCGGTTAATACCAAAATTATATCGTATAGTAAACTCGATATTTCTGTCATTTATATACGTATAGTGTGTATTGATTCAGGTGTCACCCCTAAACTAGTAAAATATTTACAATTTAATATCTTCTGGATTTAAAATAATCTGGGATAAATTAAGTGTGCCTTGATCTCAAGGACCTATACATTTCATCTTGAACTTGCCACAGGTAGGCACAGCTCCCTGTGGCGATGCACTCCCACGGAGAAAATATGCAACAATTAAATACCACGTGACCCAGTCCGCCTCCCTCTTCGTCTTAAGTGATGCGGAGTCCCGCGTCCTGCACACACTCATATGGCAGTATCCCAGAATACTGTTTGCTGTTTAGAATAGGGCGGAGGGCTGCACTTCTTCGCACCTGCGTTCTTCTTCCAGCTGGGGAGGATAGGCATGCTATCCTGTTTGCAAAGGCCCTTTTCCGTTTTCTGTCTAGCCTTTATTTCCTTGCATAAGCAACGCTTTTTCTCAATCATCTCAAGCATTGTATGGTCTCCATGAAACCACTGCATGCATGCCACCTAGCAGAAAAGAAAGAGTGAATACAGAAGGAAAACAATGGAATGAAAGCATGTTTTTCGCACTGTCCTATTAGTTGCTTAGCTGTTTGTATACATCCTTTAAAAGCTCTTAAAATGAATTGAGAAATGTAACAATTCTTAGAAAACAAAAATGAGAGCACAGAAATTTTGCATTTAAAATAGTAATCACCAGGGTGTTATTTATTTAATAAGAACTTGGGTAGGAATATTCTTTCTGATATATTCTAAAAGCTCACAGTATGGAAATACAACTTTTTATTTTACCTTTTCCAGCAATTTGCCAAAATCTGTCTATTACTTTCACTCTGGTCCCATAGTGTTATTCATCTGTGTGTCTAAATTCAAACTGAAATTACTTTTCAATGAGGTCTAAAATAAATATATGTTTAATGGTGTTAATATATATTTTCATTCTTGAAATACATTTTAGTTATTTGGGGTTTTTATAAATAGTGTGCAGCAAGACAAATATTCTTAATAGTTCTTTCAGCTAAAGTGATTTTCATTGTACACCATATGTTTGAAGGCAAACACATGATTCTCTGAAAAAGAAATTTTGCTATATTTTTGGGTGCTTTAGCAAATGTCTAGGTTAGTCACTGGCCTCTAAAATCACACAGACACAGATCCTAATTAGTTCCAGAAACTTCAGAAAAAGGATTCATCAGGTCACTTTCTTCACCAGAAGAAAGTCACTCTACATCGACATATACACAGGTATTGCTAGACAGTTAACACTGCTCCCAGATGTCATGGTACCGAGTCCATGAGTAACTGTCTTTGGAAACAAGTCGGTAACACAACGAAGCCAAGATAAAGAAGCTTACATTTAATTGTTTAAGAAAATACACCCTATGCCTTACAGGGTTGAAATAGCTCCCATGAAATCACTGAAGTTGGTGTTATAATTTTAGGATGATGAAGCACATGCTGATATAATATGTATTCTATATCAGATCTCATGCTAAGTTCTTTGCATGGTTTAATTCACTTATTCCTCACAATGATGCTCTGAAATAATTACTACAAAGCAACCCATAATGGTGAGTGAAATATCACTTAGAGGAACGGATAACTTACCCAAATTTACACAATCAACAAGAGGCAAAGTCAAAATTTAAAGCTAACCATCCACTGGTGCCTTTAACAACTATGGTTTACTGCCTTCCAATGTATGTAAAAACTGGAAAGAATTGGGAAGATAAAGTAGTATAATATCGTTAGTATACAGACAAGGAAATTAAGGTTTTAAGAAGGAAGATGTAGAGGTAGATATTGCTGAGGAGCATTCTCATGATTCCTTACCCACTAGGGAGAAGGAAGACCTAACGATAGAAAATGTGGATTCAAATCTTGAATGTGTCAAATTTCTCCTAGTCACTTCATTTCCTGGAAACTTTATCTGAATAACTTGTTGATAATACCTCACTTTCAGCAGCTGATGTGAAATGGGATAATGGGATATGAAGGTCAACTCATTTTTAAAACAGTGTAACATTGCCGGAATCACTTTATTCCAAATACTATGTAGTTTTCTGTACCAACACTTGATCTGGAATGTGGAAGAAGCCCTGTATGGGTTATTAAATACTTCCTTCTGCAATGCAAGTTAGGATTTATCTATCCATTACAACTAGAAAACTGAGTTTCAGAAAGTTTAATAACTTAGAGCAAAGTAATAGTCAAGTCTGACTTGAGAGTTAATATTTTTTTTCTATGGAAGTATATTCATTCAATCTCTTGAATTTTATTTGGAAATTACAGCATACTTAGTAGTTAAATGTTTTGAAACCCATTCAATTTGATACTCAATGTATTTTGTCCTGGTATTCTTCAGGTGGTACTCCATAGTGAAGCCAGAACTTAGTGGTATGGATTAGTTTATAACTCACTATCATTTTGCAGCCAAACCAAGCTGTTGATACTCATAGTTTTGGCTTATGTTTGCTACTCCTCCTACCTTCTGGGGAAAATTAATGATGGCTACCAAGATACATATAGTGATAGTTATTCTTATATGTATTGTTATTTCTAGGTGCTATTCAAATGAAAATATATGTATGACTTTGTAAATGAATAAAAATGTTTACCAAGTAACTGTCAAAATCAATGTGATAGTTATTGCTGTATATATCATCATTTCTAGGTGTTACTGAAATGTAAAAACATTTATGGCTTTGTAAATGAATAAAAATGCTTATCAAGTTACAGTCAAAATCAATGGTCTGGACTTAGAAACAAAAGGTGACATTTCTAGATGAACACGTTATAAATGCCTAAAATGATACAGAGTGCCTTGAAAGGATGCGCTATGTATATGCCTTTTGGTGTCTCCTCATCCTTAACTCAGGCTCTTGGATTTGAGAATTCAGATTTGAAATAAAATACTCAGTGTTCAGTTCATCTAATGAACAGTTTTGTCCCAAGAGAAGAAAGTCAAAATAGCTCAGAAATTTTTGAATGGCTTTCATAAGAGGATAATCTATGCAATAAAATACAGTAACTCTATTTTGGTGGAAATACAAGTGCAGTTTATTGAGTAACTACCAACTTTCATAATGGAACTTATAACAAAGAATTGTCAGAGAACATACCTTAATGCCATTCATCTCAGAGGTCTAATCATACAGTACAGAATTATAGGTTCTCAGTAAAATTTTATGAATTCGGTAAAAGCTGCCTTCATTGAATAGTTTTTGTTGCCTCTTAGAAAAACTCTCCAGATAATCTTAGTAAAATCTTATGTTGTTTTACACAAGTCAGTATAATGGAAAAACTTCTGCACTTCTGTAAGATGATATATCTTATACCATCACTTCTACATTTGCATTTTATTTACATGTCTATATGAACATTAAATCATTTATTACTTAATGTTTTTAGCATTTTTATGGTGTGAATCAATATGTATGGCTGCAAAATAATATTCTTTATTTTAGACATCACAAACAATATGTTTAGCATTTATATGAAGTGTGTTAAGATAGACCCGTAAAAGATTTCATCACTTTTCTGGATTTTTTAACAAAATTTTTCACTGTCTTATTAGAATATGATTGTAAAATTAAATTCTGTCTCCCCTGGCAGTTGAAAGAATTCTAAAGATCTACTATAACAATTTTGTGAAACAAAATCCCATAATTAATGGCCATTTCTTATCAATAAGTGAAATGCATTTATGATTTTGCCATGTAAAAGTATATATAGACACTGGAGGGTAAGAAGACTTACCCTCTGAGGCAAATGTTCAATTATTATGAATACACATATTTTGGACAATATTTTCATATTAATATGATTCAGAAACAATATTCTTGAATATTGTTCCTTCTGTGAAGGAAGTGAAACAAAAACCTCTATCCCAGTGTGTTTGTTATATAGTAAATACTTGTCAAAGAATATGGTACAGAAAAGGGAGAAGAATAACTTTATAGTGGAGACACATGTTCTACAGGATGGACATCAGTACCCTCACAAAATTGACATGCTGAACTTCTGACCTCCAAGGTGATGGTACCAAGCGGTGCAACTACCAGGAGGTGTTTATATCATGAGATCAATGATCTTATAGGAGAGGCTCAAGCCAGCTCTCTCTTCTATCCCACCATGTGAGGACACAGCAAGAAGCTGGAGATCTGTAACCTGGAAGAAGGTCGCACCTAAACTCAACCATACTGTACCTGCCTTTGATTTTCCCAGGCTCCAGAACTATGAGAAATAACTTTTACCTGTTTACTGATACCAAGTTTGATACTTTATAGAGGCACCCAAACAGAAAAGGCACCTGACAAATACCACCCTCAATAGTTGACCAACAGTGATAGGCCATGTCGACAGCAGGTGTCCTTGGTATAATGTTACAAGGAGGGTGGCGCTTTAACTTTGCCACCTTTCTCCTTCAAACTCCCATGTCTCTGCTCTAACCATTGTACAACAGACAAATCCAAATTAAGAGATACTGTACAGAATACCAGACTGGTAGTGCTGACTACTGTCAAGGTCACCTAAGATAAAGTCTGAAAAACTGTCACAATCTAGAGAAGCATAAGGAGACTCCATAACTAAAGGTATTAAACGTACTGTCCTACAAGGACAGTGGAGCAGAGAAAGATCTTTAGATAAAAGCTAAGAAAACTAGGAAGAAGTGTGAACTTCAGTTATAATGCATCAATATCAATTCACTAGTTGTAACTAATGACCCATAATAATGTAAAAAAAAATTAGATACAATGGGTGTGGTTATACATTCTTTGAAACTTTTTAAAATCTAAATTGTAAAAAGACATATTTTTTAAAAATCAAATGAAAATAGTACATTCTTCCTCCATGTGAGTTAAGTTTTATCTTTTATTTTTTAGAAGGAAACAACATACCATTATGGAACACATTAAATGTAATCATTGCAGTACTGTTAGTTGGGTGATGATAAAAAGTCATTTATCACTGAACATTCCATGTACATTGTATGAAAATTGGTACATAATTCATGTACATGTAATATGTGTACTCGAATATAATTCACTAACATGTTTTGTGTATATATGTTAGATTCACTAACATAGGTACACCAGTGCATCACCATCAGGAGCAGCAGAGTGAGAAGGAAATTTTAATTCACTTCAGTAATTATTTTCTCTTGGAAAAAATTTAAGTACTTCCTGAGGGCAAAATTAAATTTTCTTCATTGAACAAATAAATAGCAATGCAGTACAATAATCCATTTCTATAATATACATTTAAAAGTTATTCTTCCAAAGTGTGTAAATCATGAAGAGGAAAAACTCTCTGTAGTAACTACTTGAAGTATCTTAACCTTACAAAGGACATGAGACTAAAACCGTCATATCTTTGTTTTTATTTCTGTGCCTCAATTAGCATGTGAAAAAAATAATTTACCCCAGAGTCGAAGACTTAGGAGATAGAATGTAATGTTCAGAAACTACCTTATTAAGTGTAACAAAATTGAGTTCAGTAGGAAG